AACTTCTGATTTGTTGAAAGGCACTGCTAAAAGAACACCTTCGTGAACATAACTGAGCAACGATGTGCATCCAAAATATACCAAGAAATTACTTAACAATAAGAAAGCAAACAACCCAATTAAGACATGGACAATGATCTACACGGATCACCAAAAAAGATATACATATATATATATATATATATATAGTTGTGGTGGTTATATGCCATGGAGTGGGTTCTGACTCATAGCGACCCTGCAAAAAGTTTCCGAAGCTGTAAATCTTTACAGGAGCAGAAAGCCTCACCTTTCTCCCATGGAACAGCAGTTTCGAACTGCTGACCCTGAGGTTAGTAGCCCGTTTCATAACCACTACACTACCAGAGCTCCTTGGTGGTTTGGTAGAGATAACTTTTTTAAGAGCTTAAAGTCATTGTTGTTAAGTGCCATTGAGTCGATTCTGATCCATAGTGATCCTGTGTAGGGTTTCTGAGGAGCAGCTGGTGAGCTTGAACCCCAACCTTGCAGTTCAAACTGCTTTGCAGTCTGGTGCATTAGCCCACAGCGCCACACCAGGACTCCGTTATTTGCTATCAAATCAATTCCAACTCATGGCAGCCTTATGTAGAAATGTTTCGTAGGGTTTTCATAGCTGTGACCTTTTGGAAACAAATCACCAGGCCAGGCCCTCTCTCTGAAGCACTTCTCAATATATTTGAACCTCCAATCTTCTAGCCATTTACCAGTACTTAAACATTTGCACCACCCAGAAACTCTTTATTCAGCATTGTAGCAACACACAAACCACCACTGACAGGTAGGTGGTGGCTAAGAATGAGGTGCACTGGCTAGAAATCAACCCCAGGTCTCTGACGTGGAAGAATGACGTGGAAGACTGATGTGTACTACTTAACGATCCACCCTGCATCCTAACTTTTGCATACCTACAATTATCAAGCCATTGTCTTATGCCCCTATTCTCTATATGCAAAACCTGATTCCATTACTATTTCTAATTTAAAGTCTGTTTAAGTATCATTTAGGAGAGCCTGCAATCACTGAATTACAAAAGCACATCACTGTTGTTGTCAAGTGCCACTGAGTCAGTTCCAACCCATAGCAACCCAGTATAAGGTCTGTAAGGAATAACTGTGAATTGAAGTATATTACTGTAAGATAAACTCATGGCAAGAAGGTCAGAGTTATCATATAAGATACCCATGTATTTCAAGTCTTCTAGGAGTAAAAAAATTGGTACTGAATAAAAATCAGTGAGTCTAAGACAATTCCATTGTTTATTTCAACTTTGTGTATCTTTTTGTTTAAAAAAAAAAAAAAAAATGCTTCTGGGGGAAAAAGACACCTCAACCCCAACCCCCATGAGTTGGGCTGCTAATCTCAGTCAGCAACTCGAAACTACCAGCCGTTTCATGGGAAAAAGATAAGGCTTTCTGCTCCCATAAAGATTTATAGCCTTGGAAACCATATGTTGTTGTTGTTGTTGTTAAGTGCCGTCGAGTCGATTCCAACCCATAGCAACCTTGTATAGGGTTTTCGAGGAGCAGCTGGTAAGCTTGAACCACCGACCTTGCAGTTCAAAAGGCTCTGCAGTCTGGCGCATTAACCCACAGCACCACACCAGGACTCCTGGAAACCATATACAGGGTTGTTAAAAAGAGTTGGAACCAACTCCACGGGACAACCACCACCACCACCACCCCATTAAGAGATTCTGGAGTCCTGGTGTGGTACTATAGGATAAGCAGTAGAAATGGATTGGTAACTTCAAAGTTTTGCAGTTCAAATCCATCAGCTGCTCTTGGAAACTCTATACAGGGTTGCTATGAGCTGGAAATGACTTGATGGCACACAACAATAACAACAAGCTAGCCACCAGGTCAGCGGTTCAAACCCACCAGTTGCTCCTGAGAAACCCTATATGTGGTCATTTTAAGTGGGAACTTAAGAGTACTTCATAACAATGGAGATCCTGGTGTTTTACTGATCTTAAGTGCATGAATATGGAGACATGGATGCTAAGGTAGTCAAATGAGAAAAGGACACTGAAAACATACATTTTTGGTTATAATTTTTTAAATGGCTTGTAATCTTTAGCTGATATTTTAATATTTACAACACAAATATATATCCATCTTGAAAAATAAAAAGCTAGGAAGAAGTTTAACATTTCCATGAGAAAATATGACTGTCCCAAGGATGCCTACACTAGAGCATTTAGAGAGAGCACCTTTTCTTAAAGTGAATTTAATTTGTGTCAAGCTTTGATCTTTTATTAAGCAAAAACCATTTTAGGGTTCTTTCTGGAGGATGAGAAAGACAACAAAATGAAATGTTCATAATGGTAAGAGTAAAACTAGCTTTCAAGGTTCAGAACTTGTTCTCTTGAAAGTTGCTGACAAAAACGGGTGTAGAACATTAGATGATTAAAACCAGGTAATCAACTATCTAGTCTAACCGGTAGAGCAACAGAAAAAAAATACTTGGGAGCAAGAAAAACCAGCTTTAAAAACCACATGAGACCAGGTTAAAGTTGTTGTTGTTAAGTGTCATCCCAAACAGACCCTGTATAGGGTTTCCAAGGAAAGGTTGGTGAGCATGAACTGCCAACCTTGCGGATCAAACAGAATTTGCAGGTTAGGTTAGAAAAGTTCAAAATTAAGGTAAATGAAAATTATACTCCAGCCAATGCTCAAATTATAAAATAACCTTATCCCCTCCATAAAATAATTATCAACAGTGGTCAACATAGAATTTTTGTAAAATAATGATTTGTGAGAAGGTATTTCACTACAATAAAATTGTTTTAGTTAATTCAAGTAGATCTTAGTAGGAACTAAAAAATCTTACTTGTTTTAAATTGTAATAATTCAAATATGATCAGTTCACTAGTTCTATCTTTAATTTGTTGGTTTAAAAACAAAGTTTGATGAAAACCTGGTTCATTTCACTTACACATTTCCCACTGGTTTTTACTACAGACAATTATCTGTGGTAACAAGAATGTATCAGCAAAAATAATCTAAAAAAAATTTTTTTTTTTTTTTTGCTTAGAGGCACATTATCTCTCCATTTCCCTCCTCTATGCTCCCACAGTACAACTATATAAGGGGGCTTCAAAAAGTTTGTGGAAACATTTTTTTCAATTCCATTTTTCCATGAACTTTCTGAAGTCTCTTCATATACTTACACTAACAGTTCATAAATTTATCTGAGGACTAAACTGTAAATAGAAGACAGACATGATCTTGTAATGGGAAGCCCTAATCCAGTAGCCAGCTATGGGATAAGCACTGGGCTATCTAATCATAAGGTCAGCAGTTCAAGCCCAGCAGCCACTCCCATACAGGGTTGCTATGACTCAGAACTGACTGGACAGCACTTAACAACAGCATTGCCTAAGTTGACCCGAAACCTGTATGTTCACGTCTATATAGATCTTTGTACTTTACCTGGGAAAATAAGTCCTTTCGCCAATGTGGTAGAAAGAAGATGCACTTTTAATAAAAATACAACAGACAACTTTGACAAATACCTAAATTGCATGCTACATCTGTGATATAATTTGGGCTAATAGATAAATTGTAAAGTTCCTACCTAAAAACTGTTTGGCATTTAAAACTTTCATAAATTATTTACTTTTGTGTCTGACCCATGAAGCAGTCAGCACTCTGGGGGACATTACTGGTAGAGTAATTTTCATCAGAATGTATGAATATAAACAGTGAATATAAAATGGAATGTAGCTACTACTCCAATGGCTTATATTAAAAACTTCATTTGCATGCATATGTCCCCTAGTGTCCCAATGTTTCATTTAATTTAGTCCCTTACCTCACTCAACTCTACAGATTAACTGCTATGCAACTTGAAGAGGTTAAATGAAAATCAAGACTCAAAGCCAGATTTTTGGACTCTTAAATGCTACTGCCCCTACCTATATCACTACTGTTTCTCAAAATGCTCGTAAAAGCTGAAAAAGGAAACACTGACCCCATTTCTAACACAAAGTTTTTATCATCTCATGAAATAAATCTAGATCCACTATGTGTCTGCTTTCTTAACAGACAGAAGGGGGATATTTAAAACACTGGGGGGGGGGGGGGGGGGGGGGGAAAGCCCTTTTAAAAAAAAAAAAAAAAAGGACTTACAAAAATCTAACCAAACCATACTAAATTAACTTCATTTGGCATATTTGTATTTACTTTACAGTAAGTGAAAGTAACCAAAAATACCTGTCCTGATGAATTTATTACAAAAACAGACTTTGTTCCACATAAGTATTGTTAGGAAAAATCGTAAATTTTGTTTGTACACGGTTCGTCCTCACTACGCAGCACCATCAAAATGAGGTAGTATTCTAATACTGGGGCCTTCGATATTTTTACTTCTGATGCTAACAGGTTGTCTTTTGTACATTATCAGCACCTATATCAGCTTGAAAAATTACAACGACGCAAAAATAAACTCCTAAAGTATTACGATATTCAAGAACTGGAAGAACCATCAACGAGCAAATGTTCACAGAATCGACCAGTCGCCCCACTTAAGATCCGGGTTGGCAGAGCCCAGCCCTCCCCGCCTCACATTAGTACAGACTCCCGACACTCCCGGTTCGCAGCAGGACCCCTAAACCCAGGCTCTAGAGGAGGCCGCCTCACGCCAACCTAGGGCTTAAGCTGCTTCCCTTCGTCCATGAAGATGACACACAATCTGTCCATCTACCCGTCTCAAACTCCCCCTCGAGACGAAAGCATACTAGGAGAGAAAGCCTGAGACTCGTCCCCGTTTAGTACCGGCTGTCTCCGATCGAGCTCCTCGGTATCCCCTTGCTAGGAGGCGGCCTCCGCGTCCCGAGGCCAGCACTTCGTTCCTCCCCTCCCCCACCCGGGGCCTGGACTCTAATCACTTCCCCGGGCGGAAGAACCCCAAGCACCGCAGCTCATTACCCCTGCTCGCAGGCTTGCACTGAACAGGGCGCGTCCCACTTGCAGAGAGTACACTGCCGTCTTCCTCTTGGGGAGTTCTAGGCCACGGGCTGAAGCAGAGCGATCTTCAACGAAGCACAATGGCGCCCGCCCCTTACCCGGATCCGGCGCAGAACCAGCCGCCGCCGTTAAGTGCCCCTCCCTTTCCCTCTTCCCCTCAACCTCCGCCCCCCTCCCCCCCCACTTCGCGGACTCGGCCGGTTTCTCGCGAGAGTGGCGGCTCTGCAGGGAGCCGAAAGCTGCTGCTGGCTAGACGTACCCTGCCGCGGGGTGGTGCTCTGACTGCGGCAACGGTTGAAGGGCTGCCCCCGGGGAGGCAGAGAGGCGCCACCGGTAAGCGGCTGTGGTTGGTTGGCCGGAAGGCTGACGGCTGGGCCAGCGAGGGTGCGTACGCCGGGATCTGGGACGCTGGAGGCCCGGTCCTACTTGACCGACCTAACCGGCCAGGAGGCTGTAACCCAGCCCCTCCGCTTTCCGGCGCCCGGGTCCCGCCCACAGGGCAAATCTGCTGTACCCATAACCCAAAATATCACCCAGTTTTTGTTGTTGTTGTTTTTCGCTTGATAAAGTGGCACAGTGAATGTTTATTGAATTGAATTAAGCACTGCTTTTCCCCTACCTTTCCTTCCTCCCCCCTTGACTCCTCCTGCCTACCCTATTTGATGAAACTGCGCATACCTTCCCGACCACCTTCAGTGTTGGTAATGGTGTAAAACCTGTGCTAGTATAGGTACAGATTTTGCAGTAAAAATTCACTCATTTAGAGGTAGGAAAACTGTGAGGGCAATGGTCTGGTGAGTATTAGACAAAACTTTAAAATTCTGTAAATGCTATAAACGAAGACCTAAGATGTAAATAAGTATCGCTAAAAGAGAGTGTCGCTTAACAACAACAATCAATAAAAGAGATTTGGTTAGGGGGAAAACCCACAGTTTATGTAGATTTAGATTGTTATGTGGATTGTTAATGATGTATTATAAATGTAAAAGTTCTTTAACGCTGAAGATCTATTGTTGAAACTGAAAGCATTGTTTTTCAAAAGTGACTTTCTTGTCAAGTGCTGCCCTGTCAAGACTAGTAGGGACCCTGTACGGTTTTCCAAATAGCAGCTCTTGGGTTTGAACTGCCATCCTTGTGGTTCGCAGTCCAGTGCTGACCCTACAGTGACACACCAGAAGTACAAAAAGTGACAATAAGTTGTTTCAATTCCAATAATTCATGAATGAGGATCTGAAGAATTCCAATAAATTTAATAAGTTTACATATTTTTTTAATCTTCTGAAGGGAAAGGAGAATCATTGTCATCCCTATTTTTATATCTTGAAGACGAACAGACTGTCCATGCTTTATTATTGTAAGTTGTAAAATATTGTAAATTCTAAAGGTTTAAAATACATTAACGTGAGCACATAAATGCCAGTCTAACTTTTTAGGGTGTGAATTGAAGATTGTACATCTGGTAGGGAATAAAGTAAGCACAGATTGTTGTTGTTTTTAAGTGCCATCGAGTCGGTTCACCCATAGCGACCCTGTATAGGGTTTCCGAGGAGCAGTTGGTGAGCTTGAACCACCGACCTTGCAGTTCAAACGGCTTTACAGTCTGGCGCATTAGCCAACAGTGCCACACCAAGACTCTGTAATTTATCCTTTTTTAGAAAAATGATTTTTTCCACCTTGTTTGTATTTGTGTACTTGTTATGGATATATACACCCTGAAGAACTACTAGAATATATAAGTTCAAAACATCACCCTTTTATCTTGAGCAATTTCTTAACTTTTCTAAACCTAGGTTTATTGTAAAATTAGAATAATAACATTACCTGTACTCCATAGAATTGAAAGGATTAAATGAGATAATGCATTAGTTCTTATAGCATAATTAGCATGTTATTGTCATTAAGTGCCATTGAGTTGGCTCTGACTCTTAGTGACTCTCTATAGGGCTTCTGAGGAACAGCTGATGGGTCTAAACTGCCCACCTGTGGTTCCCCGTTCAGTGCTGATCCTACAACGCCTTACCAGAAATCCATAGTTAGCATAACAGTCCATGATTTTGTTAGCTGTTAAATTCCATTCCCAAACCACTCATATTTTCTCTCTCTGGGGTTTAATATACATAGGTCTCTTAAACATCTCAAGTTTATCCTGCACTTTGAGGAATGACTGCACCATTTTCCTGAGCTATGACAGTCAAACCCGGTAGTTACAACTTCTCCATAGACCCTCCCAACCTGGCAAGGATGCTATAGATTGTGGCAGATTGTGACTTTACCCCCAGCCAGCACTGATGATATCATCAGAGGTGAGTATGGCACTAATTTCCTATGTTCAACAGAGCTTCCAGAATCTTGACCACTATTAGGTATGTTTATGGTTAATATTTTTTTAAATGATTTGAGTTTGCAGGTTATTATTATCATTGTTGTTGCTAAGTGCTCTTGAGTTCTGATGGTGACCCTATATAGAGTTTCAGGGAGTTCTTGTGTGGTGCTGTAGGATAAGCTCTTGACTGCAAGCTCAGTTTGAACAGCAACACAAGGTTGGCAATTCAAACTCACTGGCAGCTCTTTGGAAACCCTCTAAGCATTGCTATGAGTCTGAACTTACTTGACAGTATTTAATAACAACAACATAGGGTTTCAAAGGAGTGAATGGTGAATTTGAACTGCTGACCTTGCTGTTCAAACTAACTTTATAATCTAGTGCTTTATCTTCCAACACCACCAGGACTCCACAATTATTATTAACAAACAATTATTGAGATTTTGCTACTTTGAAGACATTTTGCGATTATACAGTGAAGACATTGTGATTACAAATAGGTGCTTTGGTGACCATGTTTTCTGATGTAAACATAAGCACAAAATGATTTGACAGGGAAAGTATTTGCAGTCACCAGTCTTCTAAGCAATCTGGATCACATGATTTCCTGTGAAACGCAGAGTTCTCACTCGTGACCTTCTGCTATACTTTTTATCCTCATTTTGACAGAACATCTTTCTTCATTTCAGTATCTTTGCTTACCATACACTCATACCACTCAGATTATTTTCCATTTCAGAACTTGGCTTCTTTAAGTGAGGGTCTCACTTACCATTCTAACTTCTACTTTAAAATTTGTCATCTAGCTGTGGTTGTAACAGCCCTTTACTCATACCTGTTTAAGTATTTCTTTCTCCATTCACATGAGCTTAGAATTCTCTTTTAAATATTGAATTTCAAAATTCCTGTTTTCCCTTCTTTTTTTGTCATCCCACAACCCAACCCTGTAAAAAGTAGCTTCTCTACAGCAAGAAAAATAGCTTATTCTTTATTTTACATAATTGGTGTGATTTTGAAAAGATAAGCTTATATTTTAATATTTTAAGTCATATCACTTTAAATGTAGGTTATTTCTTAAGCTTTTGAGGAACAGGAGGTAATACCCAGTATGATACAGGAGTGCTTATAATGAGGTGTTGAAAACAATGGATGCCAGTATTTTCATGAATAGCAACCTAATCTCAAGAAGAGAGCCTGCTGTTATCAACCAACTTGAAGTGTATAAATTGGGGATCTCTTCTAAGGAATACTTAATTACTGAAAGGTCTTTTAGTTTAAATCTTTGATGTAAAGTATTATTTTGATGACATAAATCCCTGAAACAATGCTTTTGAAAGATCCTTGCTTGGCATAAATGGCTTGTGGTCTACTTCTAATTCAAAGGATACCACAGAAGAAAGGTCTGGCAAGATGCTTCTGTATAAAGACAGCAGCCATGAAAATGGAGCTGTAGTACTCCCTAACACATGGGTTGTCATGAGTTGGAATCAGCTTGACAATGATAGGTTTTCTCCCCCCATTTTAAGTTTTATTACAGTTGTTGTTGTTGTTAGGTGCCATCGAGCCAGTACCGACTCATAGCAACCTTATGCACAGCAGAACGAAACACTGCCCGATCCTGGGCCAACCTCACTACTGTTGTCACGCTTGAGTCCATCGATGCTGCCACTTGGCCAGTTCATCTCGTTGGGGGTTTTCCTCTTTTTCTCTGACCTGCCACCTTACTAAACATTATAACCTTCTCCAGTGACTGGACCCTCCTGACAATATGTCCAAAGTATGAGAAATGAAGTTTGGCCATCTTGGCCTCCAAGGAGCACTCTGGCTGCACTACTTCAATACCACATTTAATAAATGATCATCTAAGTCATTCTGTTGGTTGACTTTTGCCAAATTAGCAATATGACATTTAATCTCAAAAACCAATAGTTGCTATTGTTGTTAGGTGCCATCCAATTGGTTCCAACTCCTAGTGACCCTATGCACAATAAAATGAAACACTGCCTGGTCCTGCTCCATCCTCATAATTAGTTGTTATGTTTGAGCCCATTGCTGCTGCCACTGTGCCATTCCATCTCTTTGAGGGTCTCCCTTTGTTTTTGCTTACCTTCTACTTTACCAAACATGATGTCTTTCTCCAGGGACTGGTCCCTCCGAATAACATGTCCAAAGCATTGTTGTTGTTATGTGCCATCGAGCCAACTCACAGCGACCATGTCTGGGGTTTCCGAAGAGTGGCTTCTGGGTCTGAATCTCCAACCTTGTGATTCAGACCGACCTTGTGGCCCAGTGCAGTATCCTGCAGCACCCTACCAGGACTCCAAAAGCAAAAGATATACAAACATCTAACGAAAATACCATCTCAAAATCCACTCGGAAAAATCAGTTCTCCACTGTATGATTAAGCTAACAGACTAGGTTTTAGGAAGATCTAGATATATAGTTGTTCTAGAATCCTTATGTGAAATGCCTTTCACACTGCCTGTAACATGTTCACAGGAATACCTAGATTGTTGTTGTTATGTGCCGTGGAGTTGGTTCTGACTCATAGCGACCCCGTACAGGGTTTCCGGGGCTGTAAATCTTTATGGGAGCAGAAAGGCCTCATCTTTCTCCCACGGAACAGCTGGTGGTTTCAAACTGCTGACCGTGAGATTAGCAGCCCGATTCATAACCACTACACTACCAGAGCCCCTTAATACCCAGTTTAGGATTTGATTAATTAACTGGGTATTTTTTAATGGCCAAGTTGGCACATAAAATTAGCCATCATATCTATGACTCAACAGCAGAGG